GCGATTCATCAACTCCCTCCTCATGCATTTTAATCGAAAACGTCGCATAATTTCGTTGTTCGCAACCTCGTTTCTGCTTGGGACGGTTTCTTTTCGTGCAAGGCTGTCCACTGTTCTTGAGGAACTTCCCTCTTTCATCAAGTTATGTTTTCCTGAACCTCATGCGGCCATGGTTCTACTCATCGCTCATCAGATTATGTACTCTGTCTCGGTGCGCTGGCCTCTGCACAAAAAGGAATTCACTTAGTTTGGATTCCGCCACGTTTTGGCAGCTCGAAGACAATCACCGGTTCCGTGCATCCTCTTCAGCTGAAAAGTGAACTAATGCGCAGCTTTTTGAGAATATTAGATTGGAAATTTCCCGTAAACGAAAATTAAGAGTTCTGCTGCTATTTCTCCACTCCGAGTAACCATTGCATGAATCAATCTAATTATATTCCATTTTTGAAGAAATGCTTCAAAATAGCTGGCTTCTCCCAAGGCTTCTTGCGTTCTAGATACCATTGCAAGGACTACCAACATCATTTTTAAGCAAGATTTTTGCCTGGAGAAATCTTGCAGATTTTGCTGTACATCAAATTAATGTTGCATCAAAATAAACACAACAATCCACCCTATGCCCTGCCATTCACCTATCTACAAGTCTTTCTGTTTTATTCCGAGAAAAAACTGTTATAAAACGGATATGCAAACTGTAAATCAGCAATCAATATTTTTGGAACAAATTTTTTATGAGATTTCCGCCCAAGTTGCCGCAATGTTTTTTTCTTGAGAATGTTAGAAAAAATCCGTCAATTCAGTTACTTCTGAGACTTGCAGCAAACCTGGTTTCTTCTATCCAATTTACGACTCCCTTTGCAGAAAAACTAATTTTTTGTTTGGAAACAGACAACTTCGAATCCTACCGCTAGTATAGTTGACCATTTTTTGACCAAGGGCCAAAAAAAGGTGAGCTGAGGATAAAAGAGTGGTCGTCGGAATTAACACTTCAATTTCCATTCCATTTGGCCACGAAAGTTGCCACCAATTTTTAAACAAAATGGATGAAGTATTTTTGTACATACTGTGTGTGAAGTTGTACATCTTCGATATAACCAAGTAACAAAGTTGTAGGCTTTTCCATCTCTTCTCTTTTCCCCTTCATTTTATAGTTCTCAGCTTTTGAAGTTTGCTCATTTAAAGGCAATGCATGTATTTGAATCTAAGCATTATTGTTTTTTGTTCACACTAGCAGTGTATTGTTCGAAGATTTGCAGTTTTCTCATTAATAGATTTTTTAAATGCTTAAATTGGCATTTTTCACTTGATTTCTTTCCAGGCACCTCAGCAATGAGCATACCTCGAAGGCATCGTTTCTAGTTCACTATGATTCTTCTACTCTTCGTTCTACTATGCCATTCCGTCCTCGGCATAACGTTCGTGGTTCCTGAATCTTCCCCCGTCGGCCATGTGATCGGCTACCTGGAGGGTCGACCAACTCTGGCAACCCAAGCGAAGTACTTCGTCGTCTATCCAGACACTATATCTGAGCAGGTCAGTGCTTGCAATTCAGAATGCTCATTGTTCCTCGTATGACCTTTTCTATCGTTTCTTCATTGCTGCTTCTTTCGCAGTCGAAAACAGAGAAAAAAACGCTGCAGATTTCACTATTGTCGATCGGCAAGGTTATTTATGCTCGATTTGCCTCATTCTTTTCTTTCCATGAAGAAAAGAAGGTACGCGGGGGCCTGGCCAGCAAAGTAACGGCCCCGCGAAATGGCCGACCTTGCGGCTGTCTCGTAACATTGGCAATTATGAACGCCTCGCGCACCCCATGGAACGCCAGATAGGCCAGATATGCGTCTGGAAGAGTTATGACCGAAAAGTAGTTCAAGTATTAATAAGGGCAAACATTTGTTGGCAGAACGAAAAAGAGTGAGCTCGCACTCCACCGAACGCAGTGCCACAGCTCTCCTAATATCCCTGAGATCCCATTTGTGCATTTACAAGTTCGTTCCCATCTAATATTAGAGATCTATCCTCTTTACCTTGTTCCTAGTCTCGTCCATCGTCTATCCACCATACAGCTTATCAAATGTCCCAGATGGGTATAACTCAGAAGACAATATCTCCCAAAGGTTGTTAGTTTTTTGTGCGGATATGGAAAAACAGCATCAAAGAAAACTTGATGGTAAACTAAACTGGTCTAAACTAAATTCACATATTTCCATTCTCTTCATCCCATCTCGTATTGCTTCTGAAATTTTTGTTCTCTAAGCCAAGATCACTAATAAAGTAATAACTTATAACCAACGATTTTTGCTGTTATCATTTCCTACAAAGCTGTTAGGCATGGATTTTCTCATAGAGACCCAACCTAAGTGAATTTTCCACCAAAGTTATCATATAGAACAAACAGAATCTTCAATACTGGAATAAAGTTGATTGCTATATTCAAGCCCTAGTCTTACTTCAGTTTTCTCACAATTTCTAGATCTCAGAGCTCTAAAAGGTGTTTTCTTCTCGTAATCTAAACCGTTGTTCAAATTTATCCCAAAATTACTAGATCACAGTAGAAAATTTTACATTGAAAAAGCAATAACCAACTTTTAACGTGTCAACTGGATTAACAGTTGTATAAGAATAAACATTATCAGACAAAAATAGCAATTTGAATAGCAGTTCTTTCTATGCCGATTCTGTCTTCAGTTTGTTCTATGTGCACCTATACGGAAGAAAGAAGGTGATAAAAATTTGTTTTGGAAAGTGTGCGAGATCTATATGTTAAGACAGTGTGAAGCGAACTGGTAGAAGAAAAGTGATTTTTATTTCATAAGATCTCCCATCTTGAAACCTAGGCATGACTATGAATTGATCTCAAGATCAGTAATTCTTATGTTTTTTGCATGTTTTCGTATGTTAATCTGTTCACTCCAAAGAGTGACTAAAAAGTCTTTGGGGAAGTTTTGAAAACAGTTCATATCCCGAGCATTTTTTTGGTTAATTTTGAGCATGCGTTTTGTAGAGAAAAAAGAAAATTTTGATATTATAAATTTAAAGCTCTCTTTTTTTTCTGAAATCTATTGAAAAGATATAAAAAAGATACGTTTTCTTGTGGATTTCCAAGAAAACCATGCACTTACTTAAATTTGCCTATTCTATTATTATTATTCATTTTGTTGCGTTACTGGTTCTTTATCCGATCAGGTGGTAACCTTTGATTTTTACTCTTTACCTACATCTGTTCATCTCCATTAGCTACCCGGAATACATTAGACGGTAAACGCGCGGAAGCGGTCTGCATCAGAAACCGATGGTCGCAAATAACGGATGTCATCTAATACACGACACGCAATCCAATGACAAACTACTAATTACCCCAAGGGCTTGAAGCGATACCAAGATGCTTAATATGTGCTCCTTTTTATTTTCCACAAGAGATACAACAAATGAAAGCGGCCATTTTAATCGATAGATACCTTAGATACTTAATGGAGGAATCTCGCTGACCCCATAAACATAATTTCGAATGTCGACGTACTGACATTGGGCGATGTCTAGTTTTTCCATTACTCATGAATTTCCAGAAGATCTTGCATAAAGTGATTAAAGAAGTTGTAATGACAAAGAAAAAAGTTAGATGTCGACGAGGGGCTATTGTCCTAAATCAGTCACAATTCGTTTGGAATGGGAATAATTGGCCATTTTTTTTGCTCAAGGGAGCTTTCACTTCGTCTTACGAATGCTAACAGTTGGCCCTCCCTGGTTGGGTAAGGATTTTACCATTACTTGTGATCCAATAATCCCACAAAATTTTCTGTAAAGAAAACTCATGGCCATTTTTTGCGGCGCCTTTTACCTAAGTG